TTCTAGCCAAGGGCACGTCATCGCGTTGTGAGAGAAATTTTCACAAACCTTACACCCCCCCCCCATTCCTTCTCCCTTGGGACAACCCCTCGGCCTTGAAAAGGCCCTGGGAAGACGTTGTAAGGCAAGGCGTGACATGGCATAGGCACGTCGCTAGGTTCCCCCCCCCAGCTACCTTTGCTCCAATACCAATAATGACAATTATAACAATAATAACGACATAATGAATTTCAGGTCGACTTCTGGAAAGAACCGAATCATTTTGGTGATTTTGCTGACATAATGATCTCATCAAAGAATGCACTGGCCATGGAACATCGTTTTCGTCGAGCAAATATCACATACGATATTCGAGTACCAGACGTGGAGAAGTAAGTGCTGTAAGAATTAGGGTAACCACTCATGGCTAGAAAGACAGCGCATCTGGAGGGGTCAGCCTGCGATTCCTCGTCGCCGCCTTGTAAACTGTTTGATAATTCGCGAATTTGAGAGAGAAAGAGAGCTCCGGGGAGGGTGAGCCACGTCGGACATTGCAAAGTTTTACGAGTGGCAAGTGATAAACTCGAGAGTTCATTCTTCAAAGTCGTTGGGAGCTATGACGTTGACGCAAAATTACAGACTGGCCCTTTTAAGACATATAGTGCCCTGTAGTAACCTTTTAGAAGGTTCTGGTTCTTGAAGTCACTCTTATCGGACCCGCCATCGAACCGCCTCGCAGCCGCACGCATCGAGTCCTTGCCGCCCCAGCATCGGCTAAAAGCGTAACGATAACAAGATGGATTGGAGGGACCGATAAGTGATGGGTAGAGGAGGCAGGCCCTCAGAAACCGTTTCATTGAGGACATCGCTGGATGTGCCGGGGGTCTCAACCAGATCGACCTATAAGCATAGGGTAGACTAGCCTCTTATGTAGGATGCGCCACGCTTTTGTTTTCCATTTAAAATCGTATTGGAGCTTTGTATGTTTGGACGGAGGTACTAGTACAGCAGTTAGTGTTAGCCTAAGGCAGGTTTAAAAGACACCCCCGCTGCAAGTAGTACATGGTCGTCCTTCCTTGTGCAGGTAGTTCAGCCCGTAAGCTAGATACTATCCCACTGTCGCGACTCTACAGTGAACGAGGAGCGAGCTACAGCCGCTCAAAGTTCTAGTTCTAACGCCCGCTCAGTTGGACCGCCCACTTGCTAGGCTGCCCTCTGACGGATAGCCGCTCAGTTGTTCTTTGTTGGGACGGCAGGCATTAATCGGAACTGCATGTACTTCTTGCTAACCGCGCTCGCGCCCATAAATAATTCTACTCTCCTTCATCACATTTTATTCATTGGGAGCACATACAGTCAACAGTAACCCATCTCGTGAAGGTAAAATGCGTAAAAATCACGAATGATGGAATTTCTGTGGTGCAAAAGCTCGACATGCACCAAAAGCTCCACACTTCACGTAACCCCAAATTAGGACGCCAGATTTTTGAATTTTTCCTTTTTTCAAGTGTGATTCGTTCGTGTCTTTGTTGTTTTTCATATTCTTTTCTTTGAATTGGATGTTGTCCACTACTGCGAAATGCCATAAAGCAATTTGTGAGCCAGGGTTGCCCACGGACACCGCAGGGCGGTTTAGCTGTAAGGGAGTAGTTCCATTTTGTGGTGTTCTTGAGGGCTCTTGTTGCTTTTTTCCTTCATTGAGGAATTACTTATCAGCTACTGTTTCATAATTGATCAGCAATTATCCTTGACACTTTTATCGCGGGAGCTGTCTTTAAGCCCCAAACCCAACCGTCCACCGGATGATAAGAGACGGGTACATGCGTCGCGATGTGTGAAATGGCGTTATCAAAATCTCGACCCCCCCCCGCTCCCCTCCCACATCTCTACTCCTGATTCCCCTCCTCTGACCTTGGATTCTTAAATGCCCTTTTGCACAACAGCACTACCATCTCCTGAAAATTCACAATTCGAAAGTTCCACCTTGACATAGGCCTGTTTTCGTTGAAAACTGTTCGGAGAAAAAGTGGGAGGGGGGGGGGCTCTTACATAGCGAAACATTGAAAAAGGATCTGCACAATAGGAAAAGTTTCGCGCTGACGAAGAAAATTCTTTTAACAAAGGACCAAACATATCCCCACCTCCCAACCGACCATACGATCTTCCGCTCTCCACCACCAGTCAACACTTCTTCCTTTGGATAGGATCTCCGCGTACCCTGATGAAGAACATATTCTGCCCTGGCGAAAGCTGGCCGGAATTCGATCCCAGGACGATACCGCGTGTGGTAGTGGCACCTCTTGGCACTTCTCCTTCTTTTTCTACAGTAAGCGAAGTAAAACATTGTACGTCAAGCAAATGTCAATATTCATTGGTTTTCAGGCTAATCAATGATGAAACGAACGAACAAATGGCGACGTTCAAACATCAAGGTTCAAGGAGACTAACACTATTGATCCCGGATTCGAATACGAGCGTTGATCATTCGCCATTGTTAACCATTTTCGACGGGTACTTTCTACTCTAATTGACGGAGTATGCAACCGCCGCGACCATGTCCGCTTTCTTATCGCCCTCCTCACAGATCCTGAGAAATAGATTTTTTTTTCCTCCCACCCTTACAGGCTTAGAAATACTACATAATTTTTGGCTCCGTTTACAGTCCAAACACCTTATGTCCCGAAAAAATTGCTATACCCCCTTTATACAATGAGAATGCAAACCTTTCGGCGGCGCCAGAGTTTTCAACAACCTCAACTTCAATTAATTAGGAATCTGCTGGATGCCCTTTACCGGCATCTGAGTTACCCGGCTTTGACTCGGATCGTTTTCTACGTTTGATTCGTATGCGGCGGAGTTACTTAAGCGTCTGCGAGCCAAAGTCCTCCATGGTGTTTCACTCTGCCTTTGCCCTCTTGCAAAGCTGGCCAACCATGGTTGCTCCATTGGGCCCGCCCTACAACCAATGTGAACCTGCAATTCAACGTTCCTAAATGCTACCCAGTAAAGAAATAAGGAAATGAACCAAACTGCTCGAACAGCTTTTTTAGCCGAGGTATCAATTCTCGAGCGTCGGAAATAACTCAAAAGCTAAATATTCTTTCGGAGATTACGCCTCGTATGCCGACATGATGAAATATATGCGCACGATTGAATTCTACTATCCAAACATCACAAAAATTGTTCGTTTGGGTACTACACATGAAGGTAGACCAATTGAAGGCATGAAGGTGGGTCCGGAAGCGATTTCCTGCCAACTACCGTATACCGTGCACAAGTTGCAGCATTTCAGATCGGCTATCCGATAACCGCGACGGATAAGAGAGCGATCTGGGTAGACGGTAATATTCATGCAAGAGAATGGGCAAGTAGTCATACGGCACTATATTTCATCAATCAGGTTTGCTAGACTTTCAGGATTTCGTCTCAGGACCTGCATGGGGCGCACCACCGAGCAATCTTCTTCTTAGGAACATAATTAGTCGAAAATCTTGTCGCCCCCACCCATAGTATATTGAGTTGTAATTATGGGATTTCAAAGGGGTGGTACTAGTAAACGCCAACCAATAGCGACTGAAAAGGCATGTAGGCCCCGCCCACTCAAGCTCCGCCCATTCAGCTTGTCTCTGGTTACGGTAAGGACGACACGATTACGCACTATGTGAACAGCCTAAATTTCTATGTACTGCCATGTTTGAATCCGGATGGCTACGAATACACCAGATCGTCACCGAATCCAAGTGTAAGTGATACTTGTCGATCAATTTTATAGGGCTCTTTCTCAGGTGTGTCCAAATTGATTTTAGGTCCGCCTATGGCGTAAGAATCGCTCGCCGGAGAGATGTAATCGTTCACTATGGGGTGGAGAGAAGTGCTGCCAGGGTGTTGACTTGAATCGCAATTTCAAATTTCATTGGGCTGGTACGTTTGTTTTTATGCATACATAAATCAAGGACACATTCCGCGGTGATCGAGAGGGCGGAGACCTACACAGCCTGCGCCTTCTTTGCTGATACTCGGTTGTACAATGGAGAGGAAGGGCCACCAATAAGGCACAGTAGTTATAAAGCTCAGAAAGTTAAGAACCCGGTAAAAGAAGTTGCGGAAAGCGTCTCTGAAGGGACTGATTTGCTAACGATTACAAATGAGGTGAAAACACTAAGCGTGTGGGTGGAGTGACTGCGACTATTCCCCCGTCTCATTGGTTGATTCCTCCCCGTTAACACTAAGCCCTGGTGTGGCCTAGGTGAAAGGAGATGGGGTGACAAGTAAGAACTAGCACAACATTTTTTAACTAGCCGACTTATTACTGTAACACGCCATCGCCAAATCAGTTAGGTCCTGGCGCGAATACAACTTACGCGACTCAAATTGCGACGCTGTATTGAATTAACTGATAATACAGTTCTGAACGGGCGGTACCAACAAGCAGACCCACACGCCTCGAGGGAAATGTACCCAGGAATCCGAATTGCAGTGTTGCAAGTGGCTCGCGTCCGCGGCGTTCGCACACACCCTGTCGGATCTTGTGCGAAAGTGCCTCAGTAGCATGAGCTAACCAACTAGGAGATGCCGCGCGCGTTGAGTTGGTCTCGGAATGCGATCGCAACACGAAATCACTTGACCACTAGCCAAACAATTGTCCCAAGGGAAAATGGGAGCACGCCCCTTTGCACACCTGCCCATGAGGTCCAAACCTGTTGTCCTTGAAAATTAGTCAAGCAGTGCGGTTTTCTGGAACTTTTTTGCACGTATTGTTTTTTTTTGGTTTTCGGTCAAGCCCATTCACAGCCGAATTGTTTGTTTGGTTTTTGGCCACGCCCACTTACAGCAATCAACGAGGTTTTTCGTTCAGAATCCGGCTCGTCTTTTGAACCATGCTCCAACATTTATCATGGAGACCACGTCTTCAGTGAGCCAGAATCACGGTGAGCTCCACCTCTACTAGACCCGTGTCCTGACAATGTGGACGACTTTCAGTGCCGTTCGTGACTACTTGAATTCGGACGAGTTACGCGGAAAAGTCGACGGTTTCATCACTCTTCATTCATATGCACAACTGTGGATTTATCCATACAGCCATGCCCAACAGAACTATCCAGAAGATATCAGTGAATTGGTACGCTATGGGGAACTCCGCCCATCAGCAGCAAACTATCACGTAATGCCTTTTTAGCGACGAACCGCCCGTCGAGCCATCAACCGGCTGCATCGTCAATATGGCACGGAGTATCGCATGGGAACAGGAGCTGATACGTTGTGTTAGTTGTCGGTTAGATTTGTTGGACGAGTTTTCCTCAGTTCGATTTTAATTTCACAGCACCGGCTTCTGGCGGTTCGGACGACTGGGCAAAATCCAACGGAATCAAATACGTCTACTTGGTGGAACTGAGACCAGAATATGAGCGTACGGGTTTGCATTTTGCGCGCGTTCAACGCGCGCACTGACCAGTCAATAATCGTGGCTATTTCAGTGTCGAACGGGTTCATCCTTCACAAAAAGGAGCTGATTCCGACTGCAGTTGAAACGTTCGAAGGCGTTAAGGTGAGTTTATTGCCCTCAAGTCTACTCGTCCCATTAGGGGCGGAGAGATACACGACCCTTCCCGAATATTAGCTCTAGTAAACGCCGCTAGGGAACACTTGGCCGTATTCTGCTTGTCGCGGATTGTGCCACAGAAAGGGCGCATCCTGCCAATGGAGAATAATTTTGCAAAAGACGACTCCTCCTCGAAAAGTCCCTCCTCTGGACCCCCCCCCTTCCCCATCTACCACCCTACCTACCATCTTCCTGAATTCTCCCGGCTTCTTACCACTCTTCCGGAATTTTCTTCAGAAACCCTCCAGTCTTTTTTTCGCTTTTCCCCCCTCAAAAAAAATTACCGCTGAGCGAGGGGAGAACGGGAGGGGGTATATACCTCACTGGAACCAGAACCGAGGAAATCAACAACCGCAACAGGGCACTTTCTGCCGTTGAAGAAAAACCTTGCAAAATAGGACCCCCTCAAAACTTCCTCCCCTCGTTTTCGCATTCTCTAAATTCTCCCAACTTTTTTTCTATTCTCTCAACTTTCTTCTATCTCCCAACTAAATGCTCTCAACTTTCCCTCACTTCGCTTGTGAAGTTCTCCGAGTTTTCCCAAAAAACTGCGTCAACAGGGCTGGAGTGGGGGCAGGGAGGAGGAGGAGCGAAAGGGGACGGGGTACCAGTGAACCCGGTCAAAGCGAGAAAAGTCGAAATGTCATAACCAAAAACATACGTTCCCCGCCCTCCGTCGACCCGATACGTCCCGCCTGCAGGGGCTTCCCAACACGACGTCCCCTGAACCGGGAACATTTCTCGCAAAAGAAAATACGACCCACCAATAACAGGATACGACCCCCCCCCCCTCTTTCACTGGAAATCCCAAATGTACGACGTGTCCTGGCCACCTGTCGTGCACCATTATAGAATAATGACCGCAAGGCAGGAAGTGCGTAGGTTGACCCTTTTGAGATACGCCACGAACTCGATTCCCATGTATCTTTGTGGACCATTTGTATGCACGTTTGACGTATTTAGACGTGTTGTACATAAGGCTTTGGGTTCAGGAGTCACCACGTCCGTGGAATTCGTGGGACTGGGGGACAATCAAAAGGATTTCTAGAAAATCCATGGAAAATTTCAGCCTTTGAAGGCCATGACACCATCATACCCCATAAGTGTCATGGCCTTCATAAGCCGACAAAATGAAAAGAAAACGTATGACGGAGCATGTGTGTCACGTAGGCCCGGAAGTGTCGAAGACACTTTACTCACAACCGGATGAGCAGGAGCTCTCAGCCACTGTGCCCTTCTCATTTGTGCGCTCTTTTCCGAAATTTCTTATTTATTTATTACTCTTCTCTCTTACTATGTTCTATACG